AAATGTACTATTACTACCTACTCCCTCTGTATTACTCCTACCATTACGTACACAATTCTAAGGTCATCCGTATCCTCTCACATACTCTATGTGTAAGTATACAACACATATGTATATTGTTAATGTACACAACATATATACAAGAATAATAGTAATACACTGCCATGATGATTACATAACTGATTGATTTTCTGCTAGTCTATTTATAGATACATAATATCATAGAAAATGAGTAGCCTTGACTTCGGTCAGCCATCAAGCACACATTCTCCGCCGAATCTCTTCCCCTCACATCTCGAACAGTTTCCATCCCTGTACCTACGATTAAAGGACGAAATTCTGTAAACTCTACTTCAGACTGTATCTGCAAGTACACCAGCAGTTGTTGCGGTGACACTTATATAAATAGAACCAATAGAATGTTCCAATGTGGTCGTCGAAAAGAACATGTTCCAAATTTGTTACGAAGACACACAAAATATCCCAATGAATAGAAATCCATCATCATCACCATCCATTGCAAAGCACTTGTTAATATCAGGTGACAAAATCAATATTAATTAATGACTGGTTCACTGCTCATTTCATCACATAACTCTAATTCACGGTTGGTTATTCAAGGTGATGGAAGCACTTTAAGGGATTCATCACATACAACTCAACAAACGCCTCCTACTTCAAAGTAATCTACAGAGTCAAGAATAGCCTACCGAAGGCAATACGCTTTCGTCTTCTTTGTATCGCTGAACATCTGGCCATTCACATAGAAAAGAGAATTACTCAACCACTTTTACTGTCACGGTAACAACTTTGTTGATTTTTGATGACTGATGATATTGTTTGTTTGCCTGTTTCTTTAATTGCTTACAACTCTTGTATTCATTTGAACTCTTACGTAATCTCGTATTCTCTACTTTGTTCCTATGTGTATCCTGAGTAAAATTCAATCATCAAACTATTCATATTACTACATAACTTCTTTTTTAACAACTATTTGTGACAACTCATCAACTTTGTTACTACCCTAATTTCATTAACACCTATTTTTTTTGAGCGATTTAGTATTACGTAACTCTACCGAATTACCAATCTTCACCTGTTCAGTGAAAATAACCATAAGCAATTGTAATTTTATTTGCAAACTTAATGTACATATACATAAAACATAACCCTCATATATATTTGCGATTGTACAGCTAAGGTGGAAAATGAATTCGCCGACGAAAAGAGACTCTTCGCTGAACTACGTGTTTTGTTTTCATCAATATGTGGATGGGGATTATCCATGAACTGAATAATTGTCATGCATTTTACTGTATTTTATTTTGTTATTGTGGACCATATTAGTTGTAAAGCGGTTGTAAAGGAACTATGGAATGATTATATCATCTGGCGAAATACGTCTTCTAAAAATGCCTTATTCAGATACATAGATATATGTATATTGTTAATGTACACAACATGTAAATATCTAAGAATAATATAGAATAACAGAAATATTACGCCATAATGACCAGATATCTGATTCCGTTTATGCCAATCCGTATATATATATATATATATATATATATATATATATATGCATATAAAGAATCTCTTATATAGTGAGTAGCCTTGATAGCTTTGCATTGATTGTATATGGTGTATACAAAATGCATACACAATACAGACAACCCATACCACATACACATAGGGGCGTGTGTACAAGCAGAAATGTACATACATACACAAAAGATAATCGATAAGTCTTACTTATTATTTACCTATTACTACTATTATTATGATTATGATCACGATTGTGATTGTGATTATCGAACACGTCAGTTCATCTTCTATTGAGGCATCTATGTAGGTTGTGTGTGTGTGTGAGCGTCTGTGTATGCACGACGTGTATGAATGCACAATCAACCGACATCTTGTTTTTGTTTAAATAATCAACAATTCAGCTACTGACTGATTGACTGTGGAATTGAATGAATCGCTAGTTGGTTGGTTGGTTGGTTGGTTGGTGTTGAACCTTTTTGTGACATTGATGAGGAGCGCTGATTTCAAAACGCACAATTTGACAAGAAAACAATATGATATAATATGCGTATATTTATACATATAATTATCATTTTCATTTGATTACTACTCACCGACTTTGAGAAAGTGTTGTCTACACAGTAAGGCAATCAAAATGACACTGTGTGCTGTCATTATCAATAACAAACATAACACGAAGTAAACATTACTCAGTGATAATACCACTACTACTAATATGACTACTTTTAATAGCAGTAGTAATAATCAAAGGTGTAATATATTTGCTGTCATATAAAATGAAACAACTTCAATGCCCTCCACCACTCGCACACACAGCCACACATACATTCATATTGATTAAAACAACATCTTCAAGTGAATGCTTCCAAGTTTGATCAGGGATTGATATGGATTACACAGAATACTGGAGAACTGTTTCGACCAAGTCTAGAACTCTTCAGTAGCAGTACATGCAGTCATCCATGATTCTGCCTAGCAGAGATCGATTCCATGATTTTCAGGTTAGAAGAACACAAGTTCGTTGAGCATTCTAGCCACTGGGTGAAGAATTCAACCATCAGTGAATGAATTCTAACTTCTGTGAATTCGCGACATAAATGTATGCGAGTACTTATGTTTAGATTCAAAGGGGACATCCACTTTCATCAATGTTTATGTTTATCGTAGTTTATGCCTTTTATTTTGTAAATGGTATTGATTGATCTTATCCTACAATACCAAAAGGAGATAAGATCAGTCAATACCACTTAGAAAAGAAATTGCGTCATCTGTGATAGATACTACATTTTGATTACAGTGGGTATCCTGTGGAACTTAGAATCCAACATGTGCTCTTTTGTGTCGATGTATATAGACTATCACTGTTTGAGATGATGGAGGTTAGATTCCTGTCTTCTAGTGGAACACCACTACCACTCCCTCCTAGGGGATTGCAGATACATACAGATTACCAGTCCCAATTGGATGAAATGAACATACTGAATTATTTTGCGAACTGAAATCAACTAGGCGCTGATATGCCAGTAGACGCTCAAGCATTTCAGTTCAACATAAAACAAACAACAGCAGGTACAGAGTAATAATTCGCCACAAAACAGACGACTAATACAAGTATTTTAAATACTCTACTTTGATAAAAGGAAAGCGACAGCTAACCACAAGAGTATTCATCACGATTACTATACACAGCGAGTCATTAAACAACTACTGACCTGCTAGCTGGCCAGATTATCGAAGTGATGCATACACAGGACAAGGATAGTCTCTCTCCTTTGGAGCCGAACTCATCAGTGGTGGTCTATCTAGCCCGTTTAACTCAGCGAACTCAGAGACGCGGAGAAGATCCTAATCATCCTAAATCACCCGATTTCTGGTCAGCTGACTAGTTAGCTGGCTGGCTACTTCGGTGAAGGGATAATTTCATTAGCCAAATTCACAATTTGCACACTTCCCCATGAGGTGGGGAATTTCACTGCAGTTCCCTTTGGAAGCTGTAGTTATTCAGGTCACAGACATACACAGAATATGTGATCCGCTTGATATCTAACATAAATAATGTAATCAAGAAACAAATCAAGCAGTGACCTCTGAGTTTAAATGGCACACCAGGTAGTCTACACCTCCCTAAGTGGCTGGCTCAAACTAACTGTTGGAGATTTCATGGATGGATTTCACATTTCCATTTGACCACTAACCACTAGCTCTTTTCCAACCGGATCCCACGGCAACTAACGCTGCCCCGTCGAAGAAGGCGATGGCTACGGATGCATATGCTACTCATCTGTTATATCCATCTCAATCGACTCACCTTCACAACGGCATCCATAGACTCATCCTCCTGACCTAAACAATCTACGCCTAACCGTAATGTTGCTCACTAAATTATACCATTTGAGATGAAAAGTAGAATACGGACACCTACAAACAAATACAGTTGGCATTTTCATACCTACCACTTTTAAAGGCCATTTCTTACAGCCACAGAAAGTAGATGGAGCTGTAGTGTGCGCAGTACACAGGTCACTTTGACCGAATACCAACTAATAACTGCTAGCTGGCTGACTGACCACCGAGCCGAGCTACACGACCACCCGACAACAACAACAACAACAACAACAGCTAACCAAAGTGGTAAAAGGTGCCAGTTAACGAACTGCAATTTGTACTTTTACCTATTTATCTATGTATATGTTGTATAAACTCGGAAAAAAATACAGACAGAATATGCATACCAATTAGACTGTAAACCACCATACAATCATATATTAAGTAGTAAATTCTCATAACCCGAAAAAAAACATATCCTTCGCTAGATTTTGTATAACCAGCACAAAACTGACACACACACACACATGCAAACACAATACGCATACACTGAATTGCACTTCATCAAACCAGCCAAATTCGCATTAGAAATAACAAAGGCATATATATTATTAATTAAAGGATAGTTCATCACAATCCGTGCAGAACAACATTCTACACACACACACACACACGCTCATACATACAAAAACACATACATGCATCTATGTGCGTGTATACCCACGACATCAAAACAGAAGAAAACAGAACAGAAGAGAAAACTTTTGCCGAAAAAAACAGTTGGTTTATTCTTCATATATCGTATATATAAATTGTATATATATACACACACACACATCACTAAGATGACAACGTCATTATGGAAATTTTACAAGTAGCAAAAGCCATTCGCGTGTGTTTGTGTGTCTGTGTATCTGAGGTTCACGTGTGAAAGAAGGTACTCCACGGAAATTATTCATAACATGCATACACAACCATCATCACGAATATCAAGAAGAAGGAGGAGAATCGAAGACAGGCAAGTGATGAGGTAATAGATTAAAAACGAATGAGAGAATATCCATAGAAAATATTCACACATTTACTAACGTATTGTCGTTACTTTAATCCCTTGTTGTTATTGTTATCAGTATTATTATTATTATTATTACTAGTTGACTTCATAATACAAAATACGACAGAGAAGGCAAGTGTGTGTGTGAGTGAGGCAGTGTAAGGCAGTAGAAACAGAGCGACGCCGAGGGAGAGGCAGAGAGAGACAGAGGTGACGACAAATGACAACTACTCATTCATTCATTCATGCATTCATACTTACACGCTGATGTGAGAAGTAGTACACAGAGGGAGACCAAGGTTAATAACACAGTTTCAGAGTAAAAAGTAAAATATGTGAAATGATCCATACTCACTCACCCACTCACTCACTGACTGGCAAATACAAAAAACATATTACATAAAAAACGGGATAACAAGCGGTGCTTGACAAGAAAGAACGCTGGCATGAAGGGTAGACAGTGTGGCTTCGGAATTGAAATTCTGGTCAAATTATTAAAAGTAGTCGTAGTAGTAGTAGTAGTTCTTGTATCGACACATTACCACTACTTGTTGAGATAAAATGAGAGAGAGAGAGAAAAGGATGTGTAAAGGTTACGTAGTCGATCAATCAATCAATCAATCAATAGTAGTTAATCCATTGTTGTTGTACATGTTGTGTTCAACTACAACATCGTCGACCACTGCTTGGATTGTCTGCATTCGGTGATACAATCGGTTGATTATGATATGGAGACATTTTCATATCGACATTACTCACTGGAGGATGTGAACTGACAATATTATAAATAGCTGGAAATGAAATGAAGTGAAAGTAAATGAAAAACTAAAGTGAAGATTATTTCACAAGTAAGAAATTAGTAAACTGTAACTTAGACTTATATTCATTCATTATTTGATTCCCATACGTTCCGAGTGGGATATGCGGCTTCAAGCTGGAGCTTTAAAGTCTCGGTAGCGGTGTTTCTTTCATTTCTACTCCTTCACTACCGGCTTAGCCAGCGAGGCTTAGGAGTGTGCTGGCGGGGAATCGAACCCTAAACATCACATGTGTGATTGGCGAGCGTTCTACAGCTAAGCCACCGACACATGTTGGACTTATATAGTATGAGTCGTATAGTATAGTATGGTGTTCAGTATTCCAGGCCATGATGATGGAAGATTTAGACTGACTACAGCGCTGGATAAGAAGGGAAGGTGTGTCAATCGACGAGATGGTTAGGACACGTGTTGATCATGCTGAGCTACTGCCTTTCACGACGCGCAATGTTAGCTAACACAGGAGAAAAAGAAAGAGTTCAAGGTGGTCAAACCAAAACCTGTCATCAATCCATGAAGTTTTCGATAGTTGTTGGTCCCACAGCCAGTCACACAGAGAGGTCGAGACTACCGTCGTTGGGGTCCTTACGATGCTAAGAATCAATGACTGGGGACCATTAGTGTAACATGATTAAAAGTCGTCCTCCACAGTGCAGATGCATTCACCCTTTGAAATCTCCAAGATCAATAAAGTCTTCACATATTTGTCTGGGTAATTATTCTTTCTGCAGCACATTTTTGTTCATTTGTGCGCTACGCTAAGTAAAGTGCGGCAACCTGAACTTCTGCATATCTATGCAAAGTTCTGTGCGCAAACTCAATAAGTTGAATGTGGTTTCGTCAGGTCAAAGAGCATCAACATGAGATTTCTCAGCAGTGAGCAATCAAAATTCCCAATACACTCACATTTCACGCCGAGCACCACTATGAGCACCGGTAGTTAATTACGCTGACAATTATGTACATACTCAGTTAAGCGTCTCGTTAAGAACAAAGCTATTATTTATGTGTAAAACGTCCTGTGGTGAGAATCCAGTTCAGTAATACGACAATGTGACGTCAGCAAGCGATACAATTCTTCTAATAACACTGGTTATCTGTCATTAATTTCAGTCCCTACCGATAATGGCTGCTACCTTGCCATGGTGACCCCCCTATCTGCATAGCTGAATGACCCAACGAGTCATACACTGAAGGGAACTAATGTTCGAGAAGGTCTCACCATGTCAGATAACAGTTTAACTAAAAGTAGTTATCATATAATAGTATAAGTCATCTACCCTGATGTTAGGAGTCTCTGGGTGAAGTCCTACTTCCGACAAATAAGGATGCAACAGTAGTGGTGCGTCTACCACGGATAACCAACAAGGTATATATGCTGCCTGACCTCTCCGCTCTGAAGATGGGAAGGTTCGAAATGGTCGACCCTGAGAATTGTGCTAATCCGGACACAACACCAAAAACCACTTTTAAAAGGCCATATGTGTGACCAGGTCTACGGTGAGGTAATAGTAAGGCTCTTTCTGTGCCCACATCTGGGAAGTAACAGCAACTCAGACGCCTCCATATGCAGACACACGCATACAAAACTTTGCTGATATCAATTTCAGTTCAAATTAACAAGTACAGAAACTCTTGCATCAAAACAGGATTGTGTACTATTCACGATATACAAATATTTAAGGAATATGCATAAATCTTTCTTAGAGATGTTTCATTCAACTGAAACTGTCAACACTTTCAAACTATGAACTTCTTAGCTAGTCAGAACTCTACTACCTGGAACAGAGTTTTCGTGATCCACGCCACGCTATGAGTGTTACACATATTGTGCATGAAGGGGCTGAGGCGCGTAGCACTCATCAGTGTTGCCCAGACTGTAGTAAATGGAGAGAAACCTAAAACCTATGAGACACCACATCTTCACAAATGTACACCACAACTTTTCAGAGTTCACAGCAATATAGAAGGACAACTGATAACACATAGAAACCCCATCACTAATTAACACACATCAGAAGTAGAGCTAAAGGTGGTTATTTAAAAAGTGAAGGAAGTTCTACGACTTCATCAGAAACAATGGCTGCAAAGAGATTGATTCTAATAAACTTTGGCGATGGGACATACATGATCGAAATTCTTCATATTAACCAAAAAAAGCCACAGAATTTGAACAGGAATCAACTCTTTAGGTATTTGAGCAAAGGGACTTGAGAAAGACTACGGTGAAGAAAGTGTTGGCTGACGGTATCACGTTGGAAAAGAGTGAGTGACGGTATTTAGGTGAAACGTCAGGCAAAACACTTTAAAAAGCAACTTAACCGACTTGGGCTAACCACACTCTCAGTGGGGGAAGTGAATAACGACACTTTAGCCCTGGTAGATGTTGCCTTATAACGATTCAATCTTAACTTGAAATAGAGAAAAGGCCAGTGATTTGATAGTTCAACTCCTGAAGTATTCAAAGAATGATGGTCAGCAGTTCTCAGCTAATTGATCTAATTAGATAATGAAGAATAGTAAACAGGAATCCGATACAGTTCCGATAGAATTACACAGACCGGTAATTATCACAAATTCAAAGAAAGTTAAAGCAAATATTCTTCAGTTAAGCCAACAACTCTGGCGAAATACAAGGTCTTCTTTGATTTCTTTAGGGAGAGATATGAGCGACTTATCATTGCGTGGGCAGTTCGCTGATGATACTACAGAATTTAGTCTGCACCAACGTTTTCTCAAAAAACAGAGTGAACTGAATGAATAATACACGTTGTCCACTCTGCTCTTATACACTGGGGGTTGCTAAAGAAATCTCAACACTACTGAAAGTTAGTTCAATCAATATTCATCAACGTAAGTCATAATTCTAGGCTTGATGAAATATTTGACCACCTTTTAAAAGCGTATGAATAGTTCGCTTCTTCCTGTTTTATAGCAGTGAGACACAAGTGATTTAATTTGATCGCCGGTGTACTTTAAGCGGGACCTGATAAAAGCAGTGTTGAGATAAGAAGTACAGTCACGCAGTAGAGTTAACCAAATCGACAAAGGTGAAGGTTTTGACCCATTTAGGTGACTCAGATACATCCTTCATAGGCTGTTAGCTGAATTAGGATTACGTTAAAAAGGAGTAGGAATGCTCAGAATAAAATTTGGGGCAAATCCATGAAGCTATCGACTGTTCCTATTAACCAAAAAGAAAGTGAGTGGGATCCTTAGACATTATGAATCAACTGTTGGAGACAACTAATGACAAAGGTCAAACTCCTTCAAAACGCCATAGATGTATTCACCCTTTACAGACTGTGAAATTCTTTGTGCTCAGATGACTAAACTCTCAACGCAGAACTTTGCACAAAATTGCAGAGGTTCAAGTAGTTGTCACCCTCCTTCCATATATCACACAAAGCTAGTCAGAAGACAGTAAACAGAGATTTAATACAACCTCAATGAGTAAAATTGTAAGGGAGAAAGAATGATAACGTGGAAAAACATGAGGAGTTAACGGAGTCAATGCATTTGTTCCACTGACAACGATTTCCAGCCATAGCACCAACAGTCTCAAGCCACAGGATATTAGCAGCCCAAAGACACCAACCAGACAGTCTACACCTCCTTAATTAGCCACTTCAAAACAACTACCAAAAACTTCATGGATTCATACCAAGTTTAAGTTTCATCACCCCTAAATCTTTTATAACTCAACCCTATGTCAGCTAAAACTATTTGACAAGATAACTCGGCATGAGTAACACGCGTTTTAGCCATCTTAATCGATGTAGCTTCACAAGATAATCAACTGACTTGCCTTCTCAACCTAGTACTATACCTAACCTGATTATTACTCACCATATTTCACAACACTTAACACATGAGACATTGAAATTCTGGACGATCTCGTTCAATTGGTCTCTCTTATTCAACTGTACGGGATATCAAAGAAATATTATTGTATTTTAATAAATAATTATTGTGAATTAATTGAAGGTCTCTAATATTCGTGTAAAATTGACCTACAGTTATTCACAGATACTACATATACTAATGAACTTTTACGGTTTAAACAGCCAGAAAGTATCAACCATCTAAACACCTATCAGCCAACCTCATTTTCTTTCTTCTTCAAACTTTAATTTGGTTTTTTTATTACCAACTTCCCTATACATGAACTGGTACGAGAGAGGGTGGGTAGTATTTGGCATTACTCTCGAAATGCTGTCATGTGACTATGCACTGTGTTCATAGCCTCTGCCAAGTAAGCCCTGTCCACTACCTTCACGCGGCATGGTTGTTCCTCACAAAAGCAAAAAAGGCGAATACTAACGTTTGGCGCTAATAACCAGAATACTGGACATAATGGTTTACCTAGGTGAGCTGCGAAACCATCATTCCAGACCTATAGCACACATGACCTCAAGAATCCGATTACATTGAATGGCTGTTTCGGTTACCAGGAATCACAGGAACTTAGTTCCTGACACTGATCCACTGCCTCCAAGTCAAGGGGTTGGGAGGCGTTAGCCACTTAAGATAACCACCTGCTTCGATCTGGGCGTCCTAGCAGTAGCTCAGCCCTCGTATAAACTATGGGATTTTGTGTAGTGCACCTCTACATTAAAGTTCTTAAGCTAGAACAAAGTGAGTATGTTTCATTGGTAAAACGTCTAATCTTCTGAACTATACTTATTGTGCTTCCGAGACACAGGTAAAACCTAAGAGTAAAGATTACACTACCACCAAAGTCGAAAGATTCAACGGCTAATACTGGTGGACTGCCTATTGTGAATACAGTATTACTTTTTGAGATACAAAGCGGATTGATTAACTGGATTAAGACTGGATTTGGGTTAACAAAATCTGCAAGAACTTGAAAGGACATACAATTCAACTTTGCTTCTTTTCTCCAATTACACATCTAATGACTGCACTCAGGTAAACGGGATGTATTCTGCTAGAAGCTGCTAACTACCACTCACTGATCGAGTGGAATGTATAAATCGGTGACGACGAATACTATGCTCAAACAAATAAACAGGCAATCAAAATGAGTCAATCAGAAGGATATGTTTACACATCTCAAACATCCCCAGGTTCAGGGATTTCCATCGATGGCTATTCGCCACAACTTTAGTCCGGAGATCCCTTGCTTCATAAAAGTATTATCTTTGGATGGAATGAAAAGCCATTGCTTTTCTTAGCGGCTACCAACACCAAGCCAACAGTGCATACAGACAATAATCCCAACAGTCAACGCTACTCTATTACTACTTGGACACATTATCTAAATGAACATAGGAATCACGTAATTAAAATGACTGGCGACGACTCAGTTTGAAATTAAGATAAGTTGGTGTTTAGACAAAGGGACTGGGGATGGCGGTTATGTACCTAAATCAGATTCGTAATCTACACAGTTCCAGGAGGTGGAATTTTACCACAGTTTTCTTTAGAAAGCCAAATTACTAAGACCAAAGTATGTGATCTGCCTGATACTATAATCAAGAAAGCAAGCGTAAACGCATAGAACTTCATATCACTGATTTACTGACATGAGTGGCTGTATACCATTCACATAAACCAGGAGTGCTTGCCAGATAACTAGGTCAAGCTGACCTGAATAGCAGATGGCTGTTTCACTCGTTTGGTGCTGAGCTCATCAATGGTGCACACCTCTTGCCTCAGCTCGTTCAGACAGCCAAGTCGGTCCAAACCACAGATTCCTGTCTAGCTGTAGTAGAAGGAGGTAGAGTAGTCAGTTACCAAGTTCCATCACCATTTTCCCCAGTCCCATCAGAATGGTTTGACAGTAGAAAGTTCAGTACAGAAAACCTCAATATGAGTGAGCAACAAAAGCATTTGTAATGCCCGTCAACTGTAGTGATTGGTAGATTATGTGGGGTAAAAAAGAAATACTAACAATAACTACCCCTCAAAACAAGCGGCTGGAGTTTGAAATTACAACTAGTCGGCTACAACTAGATTAATCAAATCAAATTAAGCGGAGATAACACTCACTCGAAGCCCAACAAAGTAAAGACAGTTGTGAAACCTCAACAAAACAGAAGAGCAAGATGGGTTTCCTCTAAGAGTCTTTAAAGTAAACAGTCATGGGTCACGCATACGAAAAACTGAATCGTATGGGAATGAGAGAAACACTATAATGCCATGAATAACAAGTAATCCCTTTAGTAAATTTGAATAAAACCACACCTACGAAAATCCATTACAGTCAAAATCTAACCTAATGCATATTATCAAAAGTACAAAACCAACCTTGGAGAATTTGACAGAAGGCTTCTTCTACATTAGTAGAATCTAAAGCTGAAGTTTCAATGAAACAAAGTCCATTTCGTTCAGCAAAACTTTTCGCCTCATCAGTCATAACTCCACGAAGATGTCGAAGATCACATTTATTTCCAACTAACATGATAACAATATGCTGATCTGCATGATCTCGTAATTCACCTAACCATCGATCCAAATTACGATAAGTTACTACTTTGGAAACGTCGTACACCAACAGTGCACCAACAGCACCACGATAATAACTGAAAGACAAAGGGATAAGAGCATGTGATGACTTCAAATGAGAAGTATGAAAATAACGTTCTTTGGGTTTAATGGTTAAGCAGTGCAAACGGCTTCAAACTACTAAAATCATATCCGACTATCACACTTGACCCATATGAACCGACCTCCACTAATCGATAAAAAATTGAGATAATTCACGTATCACAGCACGAACGATTTGATCTATTTATCAAATGTACGAATAAATTGCATTAGTCCAGAAACTACGCATATGTTATACACCTGGAAATGCGGCAGATCTATTGCGACAGTTTGGATTACAGGCTCGTCCAACTTTAGAAAGTAAGAGGGAATTGAAAATACTACTTAAAAATAATAACCGATCACTCCACAAATGATCAACAATGTGCCTAATGTTAAATAACAACGCTATCAAACATGCGAAATTAGTACATAGTTTGAGATTGCTACATACTGGAAGTTAAAGTTATGCAGGTAATGGAAACAAAAACTAGCAAATACTGCGTCAAACATCGAACTTGTTGATCATAGAAATTAACGAAGCTACAGTGAATTATTGAGGCTGAGTTTCAACCTAAAATCCGATGACTTCACGAAACCCAGCGAAAACTACACATGATTACATCAATAGTACTTTCTCTGATATGGAACTCAATCACATGCCTCAACTGGTGGATATGTGGTGAACAGTTCAATGAATCTCCACCAATTAACAGTTAAACCATTATTTTCAGCACAATCAGGACACTGTTGAAAGGAGATTTAGCAGTCTGCTTCTTTACGCAAACTAGGTGAGCGAGAGAAGTGCTATTCAAACACAAAATATTTAATCCGTAGGACCTGTGTAGACGAAGTTCACGAAACATAAATTTCAACGCCACTGTTTTAGACATGCAGTGCTTTTCAAACGTTGTACAATGATACAATCAAGAAAAAGATGCATGAAATTAATAAAACCCACGATATGACATATATGCGCTGTTTTATTGAATCACTAATGGGTGATAACATCCACTCGATGTAGAGGAATGCCGAGAGAAAATAAATGTAACCCTTAGCGAAGAAAATAACTTAATACTACTATTATGCAATCAACTCTATGAATAAAGTAAAGTAATGCTTATTCTACCCATACCATTCGATTTCCCTTTTATCAAACTACACTGCGAAGTCGACAATAATAATAAATACTAACTTTTGGAAGCCACTTATGCTAACAAAACATATCTAAACATAGGTCTGAATACTAATTTCATGTAGCTAGTATGTGTAGAAGAACTATAGTCAACGAAAAATACTGGGATAAAACTCACGCAGAAGTAATCGCTCGATATCGTTCCTGACCGGCAGTATCCCAAATCTGAGCCTTTATTATCTTCCCATCAATCTGGACACTCCTAAACAATCAGGTCACACTATTTAAAAGCATTACCTTGTCGCAAACTCAACTCCGATTGTACTTTTGCTCTCCAGGTTGAATTCATCTCGTGTGAAACGAGAGAGTAGGTTACTTTTACCAACACCGGAGTCTCCAATTAGTACAACTTTTCAACTGAGATAAATTGTATAACCCTGTATTACCTTTGAATAGATAATCGTACTCATCGTCTTTACCAGGCATAGAATTCCCATACATCCTCGATTTTTTTGAATATTGTGCAATATGCACAAAACAACGAAGGTAAATCAATGAGTCGTTCAAAGTGATATTCAAGGTTCCATTAAAAAGATTGGAAGTCTTGACCCCGATACCTAGCATCCTCTTCGCAGGCCAAAGAGAAACGCAAATAATTTCTTGGACTTGCATTTTAATGCTGAAAACGGATGGTTACTCAACTAGATGAGTTTTTCGGGGTGGCAGATACTACAACTCACATACCCTTTATATATCATGTTCTGAGAGGAATACCAGAACAGTTTTGAACCTATGGATTAGTCAGTGATCTGCCTCTAGTCTATGGCCGGAGTTAATCGTTTCATCGACCTGTCCTATGGTTTGCTGGAACATGCAACAGACCATTTATCGGACTGCTTCCTAATTTACTTTTGTCATTTGGGACAAACTATCAGGTTTATTACTTGAAACTAACCAACACTCTGTTATAAGTATGCCTCTGTGATTTCTAAAACTGCAATTAATCTCCGAGGTGATTTCCATTTATAACCGATGTACAACATGAGAAGCGACTCGAAAGTCTCTTGAGAGATCTAGGGTGGGGATAGAGGCTATCGTGATGTATCTTCGTGCACTGTATGGGTTATCGTGTTAACGTCTACAGAGGCGTTTAAGCGTTTGTTTTTTTATGAAAATGGAGTATATTTAATAAGTTTTATGCTTCTGCGGTAGAAAGGAGCGATATTTTCCTGTATTAGTCTCCTAATAATGCTTAAAGGTGTCTTGATATCCCAGACAAATTATTACGAAGAAAGGCATGCAATTAACGAAATTATACATAGAAATGACTTTTATTCTGGTTTAGGAGTCTTTGAAGCTCCATATTTACCAGTGGTTTTAAATTTTTAGGCTGTATATTGGCTACAGGCAACGGTTGATGTCATAGCATTGTTTCTATAAGATTTTGGGCTTTTGATTGAGAATAAGCCCACATACATTTATCAGACATCTCTTCTGAGGAGGCAAAGCATTTTTATTTTCACCCATGACGAGCGAAATCCTTTAAAGCATATCCAAGAAATCGTAAAGTAAATGAGGCAATTGGTTGTATTCTTCAGTCTTGTCCACTTTAATGAAGTTCATCCTTAGAATAGCAAAGCCTAAGATGTGATACTCGTGGAATTTACAATGTCACATGGAATTTCGGAACATCTTAACTGCTTACTGCATCAAACAACATCGACCTATCTTGATATCAGTGTGCAACGGGATAAGGAGAATACTATGCATAGTCCTTCTGAAATGTCACACTGCTTGCAGTTAGTACTGCGTTTCTGTAGTAGAGTAGCCTTTAGGTCCCTACTGCTAAAAGCATACTTTTTATCTAAGTCATATCAATTGTAATGATCATTCACTTTCAAATTACTGAGATATTTTGGATTTCTTCAGGAGGTAACTTTCTCTATAGTATATATTGTGCTCGAAACGTCATCGGTAAATATTGCTGCATAACACTGTGAGACTTTATCAAAACAAAATTTACCCATAATGGAATTACACCCTATCACAGTGCACAAGTTTTACTCTTATATCAATGATATATATGGAAGCAACATTTGCAAGTGACATTTCCTTACCACATCTGAAGTAGCATCTGGTCTGGAAAGACTTCTCGGAACTCATTTTGAAACGCAAAAGCATGTGTAGTCATGGGTGGTATTATACCTCAAACCACAGTTCATGAAAGGGAATCCGACCTAAAATTTCCTAGCAAGGAATAGTAGGGGTACAAATGTTTGGTAAGAAAGTTATTCAGAGGAAACGCTCAGATCGCTTACAAGTATGTGCTACTGAAGACCCCGTAAACTATCTTCTTAAGTTAAAAATGACCCCCAAATCTGAAGGCATCGTCTGCTTGCCTGAAAAAGAATTCAATATATGTGAAAGTTGAAATCACAGAGAAATGTTGTCATAACCACAGAAGGAGAAGAAGAATGAGCCGTTGTGAGAGGACGTAGTGAAGTAAAAAATATACGACTTTGATATTTATTTCTTGTGATCTCAGCATAACCAATAGTGCGCTTCATTCGTTTAATTTTAGAAGTCCAGCAGCACGGTCAACCTGGTCACAGAAGTTCAATATGGGTGAAATAACTGTAACAAACAGTTGCGCACAGAGGATCGTTCGTTACTATTTCTCATTAAATATAATTCGCATCCCACTGAGTACGTTCGTCTGATTCTGTCACAGTGAAATTGGAATTCTTATGATGAGACATCAAGTCTGAACCTTTCAAAACGACATGAAAGTGTAGTTGGTTCCTCAGTTCAGTGCAGTTGAAATAGTGCTCTGCTGAATTTAGTCAATTATTCGTCTACTGAGAAGATCTCGTGAAATTCTGCGTTAACACCCTAAGTCATCCTAGTTGAATTAACGTTTTACATGAAATATATGCAAAAACTTGGTGCACAACGTCACAAAGTTACTTTATGTTTACACCTGACTGATAATGCTCTTCATTTCGGTAAATGTAACTTACAATTCTGTCGACATTTCCAGGGATGCTAGAATAGGTGTAGAAGCAGCTGCAATGAACTACTTTCGAACACACAACCTATGATGCAATAATACTACACCACCGAGACTAACTTCTATCCAAAGATTTGAAAGGCTTAAATGAAGTTTATGTGAACCGGTTGTAGTCGTACGGGATAAAACTTACGTATACTTGCACCGCTCTTGTAAGCCGTACTCCTACCGCAAGCATGTGAAGTCAAAGACACCAATGTTTGCAGGAGAAGTTTATTTTGTTTCAATACAAATTTGTCTTATTTGCATGATAAGAAAACGTCGCGTTCCTATGACCATTTCTCTTGCGTAATCTGCTACAACCCTGCCTTCAAATTCTTCAAGAATTTTGATCATGTAGACATGCATTAGCCTGGTGCTGGTGAAGTATTCCTCACAGAGTTTTTATGGGACACCTGCTGACGTGCTTGGAGGTGTGCACGAATCACGTGATCATGTGCATCGTTAACATTTCCGAAGCACGTGGTCAACTGCAAATGGTTATATAGGAGACGTAAATATAACTATGAGCGTAATATCACAGAATTGTTAATGAAAGTCCCTATATTTGTTACAAGTGGTCACAATCGGTAGGGCCTTGGTAACCATGGGAACTGTTAATGCTTCCACATCTAACAGGGAAAGATAAATAAAGGTCACAGTGATAATTCCTGATTCTGGGATCAGTTTCTACCCAACCGATCCACTAAATGGAAATCCGATAGGCTCAAATCGTTCAGAATCCAATACTGTTCTAGGTTAACATCATAATCGCAATTGTCAACGTAGTCGAAGAGTGAAAGATCAATTTATGGTGGTTTGCTCAAGACCAAATCCAAATTTTTTCTGAGAATGACATGCACGCAGAGATAAGGATTAGCTGTGGAATCAATGAGGTGCTGCTATGGTCACGTTGCGTTATGCAAGAGTCATTCTAGCAAGTGGCGATTGTGTTACAAGATGTCAAGAGGATGCCTTTAACTGGAAGGCGCAGGTTGTCATTGATGTGTAAGATCGTGCTGTGAGTATGCTTGTGGTGTGTTGGCTTTTCTGTTTGTTTTCCATTTCAGCTCTGTCCGAGTGACCCAGGTTCTCGCAATGGCATCCAAGTCAACATGTATTGGTCGTGATGGGGAAAAAGGGATGGATACCTGTTTTGCCGGGCAGTGTCAATGTAGTTGACGATTGAACTATCAGTTCATGGTTGTTTGCTCAAACCCAACTCCATACTTTTCGCGGGAGTCATCAATACTGCAGTCATGGCCTCATCGTTCGCTGTTCGTTGGAAGACAGAAAATCTATCAGAAGTATTATTGTGATTTATTGTTATGACATTTATTCTTGGACTTTGTGTACAATAACTTAATAGTTGGCTCTGTATTGGTGCAAGAATAAACTGTTCTTCAGTCACCAATTTGTGTTCTGGTATTTTGCGTTGATTATTACCCATAGTTCCTGAAAGTCTTCCAAGGACAGTGTGAGGTTCAGTGTAGTATATCCTGGACACTGACAGGAACCGTCTACTTTTCGGCACAGTATCATTTTATAAAAACTTCAAATGTTTCAGGGTGTCCATGCAGCCTGTTACCTAGTGAAGTGCATCATTATTTGGCAGGCGATCGCAATTGGTACATAGAAATCACCTGTAAATACCAACGAAGCCTCCACCAGGACAGAATTTATGATGTAGATGCATTGTCTGAATGGGTTTATATATGGGCAGAAGTTATCGTGGGCTGGATTAAGTATACAAATGCTCTGGTTGATGTAATACGATGTGGGTCATGTGGATTCAATGTGCCGAGAATTTTTATAGCCTCAATAATGTGCGTTAATGCAATGTCACCGTGAGGGATCAAAGAAACTTGTCCACTGAATTTAATCCCAGACATTTTGCTCTCAACAGTCAGTTCGTTTTTCTGTGCTGACTGAGATAGTGTGAGGACATTTGGCTTTGCAAGGGACAACAGTGCCTCCACGAGTTGAGGCGTGACTGTATATCTACTCTATTCATGCTATCGTTAACATCTTTGACAATAAAGTGACAATGAAAGCCTTTAAATGAACACTCGGTGAAAAATCCTTCAGTCATGTGTTCTAAAATATGGAACACTTTGCCCCTGGAAGTCAGAACCAGCACCTCGGTCATATCTTCAAACGCTGTCTGTACAGACTGTTTCACTCTACCGATTACAATAACAAACTATTTACTCCTAAAACGAAACAATTATTAAACCATTATAGTATCTAAAATACGCGGTAAACTTTCTTATTTACCTTATAAACGATAAATTGGCTAGTCGCATAAATGCAGAAGAAAACTTACTGTAGATGAATGTGTATGTTTACTGCACGGCAATGTACAACGAATGTAAAAATATATTGACAAACATCTAGGACCTATCCGTGTCCACATAATTTTTCTATTCTCTCTGCTACTTTTCTGCCCGCCTCTTCTCTTCTATTTGCTTTGTAGTGGAAGTTGCACAGATCTACATTAAGACTGAAACTGAACAGTGCCTACTTGTGCGTTGGTGGCACAGTGGTTAGGACTCTCGCCGACCATGCATATGGT